TTTTTTTTTTTTTTGCGGTACGCGGGCCTCTCACCGCTGTGGCCCCTCCCGCTGCAGAGCACAGGCTCCGGACGCACAGGCCCAGTGGCCATGGCCCACAGGCCCAGCCACTCCGCGGCATGTGGGATCCTCCCGGACCGGGGCACGACCCCGCGTCCCCTGCATCGGCAGGCGGTCTCCCAACCACTGCGCCACCAGGGAAGCCCTAATCTGCTTCTTAAAGGATCTGTCTGAGCAGAGAAATCGGGAATAGCGTATTTTACGTGTAAATGGTTATCTGTTAAGTGAATGATGGGCCTTCTAGATAGAGGCACAAATCTGGGAAATGAATTTTGGTTTTGAGAAAATAGGTTGGTGTGATGTGAAGAATACAGTTTGGTTGGGAGACCAGAAGGGTGGGTTGGGGCTATATTAAGAAGCACTTCAAATGCTTCCAGGCATTGGGAAGGATGTGATCAGTTTTGCGTTTTATGTTGTTCTGCAGTTAAGGAGGACAGTGGGTGGCAGGAGAGGTGAGATTGCTTAGCAGGTGATTTTGACATGGTGCTGACCTGACCTTGTGACGGTTGGAACGGGGAGCAGTGAGTGAAGGTAGAAGAGATTTGCGGGGCAAATTACCAGGACCCTGCATATGTGGAGTGGGGCAGAGGTAAGCGCTGGACAGCTTAGGCAAATAAGGAGAGAACAGCATAAAATGGTCAGGAGTCAGAGGCCTGGGCTCAACTCCCAGTCCAACACCTTCCTTTCTGAGCCTCCGTGACTGCATCTGAAAAGCGGAGGTGACGTCTTCCCTTTCCTCCTTGGATAGTTCTGAAGACAAGGAGAGGCAGTAAATGTCAAGCACCTGTTCAGAGCCTGGCACGTAGAAAATGCTTTGACAGTATGTTACCGGGGAGGAGTCCAGGCAGGAATTAGGTTGTAAAGGACATTTTAAGGAAGCTGTGGGCCTCCCCAGAATACACCTGTGTGCCCTTCAGATTCCCCAGAACCCTTCCGTAGAGTTGAGATTACGCCCCTCTGGGGTAGACGGGGACTCCCACCCACTACTTATCAGCCCTCCCCCTCACAGACTCAGATGCCACTGCATCTTCAGATAACAGCGAGACAGAGGGGACACCCAAGTTGTCGGACACGCCAGCCCCTAAGAGGTGAGAAGAAGCCATCATTCTTCCCTGGAGGGTGGGGGGTGGGGGTTGGAGAGGGTACCTGGGCTGCCTCTTGCCTCTGACCCCCTCCCCTGTCCTTTCTCCAGGAAGAGAAGCCCTCCGCTGGGGGGTGCCCCCTCCCCCACCAGCCTCTCCCTGCCTCCTTCAACAGGGTTTCCCCTTCAGGCCTCTGGGGCCCCCTCCCCATACCTGAGCTCGGTGAGTTGGGGTCAAGGGTGGGAAGTGGTCAGAAGCCTGGGCATAAGGTGGGCATCATTTGGGCAGAGGGTCCAGGCCTCAGGGTGAAGCCAGCCCAGCACCAAGAACATCTGTCTGGGTGTGGCCAGCAAGCGTGCCTCGGAGGGGTGTGAGTCGGGGCTGCCTACTTCTCTCTGGTGTAGGAATGGGGGAACAGACGTGACTGAGGAGAGGAGACCCCAGGACACAGTCCTGCCGCCGTCCCCTCCCGTCTGTTCTCAGGAGCCACACTCATCACCATCTCTTGTTTTTCCATTCTTCCTCCTGTTTGCATTTTTTCCTTCTACCCCCACCCCATCCACTCCATTTCCCATCTCCATCCCCTCACTCCTGCCTGCAGCTGGCTTCCCCCACCTACCCCCCATTCCCTTCTGACTACCTGGCCCTGCAGCTGCCCGAGCCCAGCCCCCTGAGGCCCAAGCGGGAGAAACGGCCCCGCCTGCCCCGGAAACTCAAGGTACCCTGTTTGGGGGACGTTAGGGAGGGGCCAGAACGGCAGGACAGCCACCTGAGGGAGGCTCAGGACGGCTCGGGGCCTGTCCGAGAACTTTGAAGGGCTGATTTGGGGCTGCTGCTGGGGACCCAGCCCAGGGTTAGGCGCTGAGGGGCGGGTCCCAGAAGTCCTGGCTCCCAGGCTCCCTGTGAGACCAGTCAGGGCAAGCCCAGACTGGGGGAGCTCAGAGTGAAGGTGGCTGGGGGCCAGGCTCATTTTCACAAGTGTTCTGTATTGCCAGGCAGCCCCCAAGGAGGGGCAGAGTTGTGGGATCTAGAATCAAGTCAAGGTTGCGCCACTTAGAAACCATGTGACCGTGACCCTCTAGGTCTCAGATTGTGTGTCTGTAAAGTGAGTGATCAAACCACGTGTAATCAGCAAGTGTTGTGGAGCGTCTACTGTGTACCAGGCACTGTGCTAGGTGCTGCAGATACAATAGCGAACAAAGCAGAAATCCCTGCTTTCATGGAGCCCATGTTCTCGAAGGGTAGGCTGGAAACAAGCAAGATAAATAGGTAACAGTGTAGAAAGATAGATTCAGGTAAAGAGCGTGGGAAACACCAGAGTACATGGGGCTGATATTTACAGTGGGGTGGTCAGAGACTTAAATGAGCAAAGCCCTCTGGCTCTCTGCAAAGTGTTTCATTCAGGAAGAACCAGCACAGGGGCCCTGGGGGTGGGTACGTGTTCGGCTTCTTCAAGGACTAGGAAGGAGGCCAGTGTGGTCGGAGGAGAGGGAGAGGGAGAGTGACCAGAGAGCAGGTCAGAACAGCACCTGAGGGGCAAGGCTGTGGAGGGCCTCGGAGGTGTTGGGAAGTTTTTGGCTGGTACTGTAAGTGAAACGGGAGCCACTGGAGAAGGTGGGGCAGAGGGGCGTCTGACCTGATTGACGTGTTAAGAAAATTGCTTGACACTGCAGTGAATAGGCTGGTGGGTGGGGGGTCAGGATGGAAGTGGGGAGACCCGTGAAGAGGCCCCTGCGGTCAACCAGGCAGCAGGGGGAAGGGTGAAAAGTGGGTGATGGGTCTCTTTCAAAGAATGAGCCCCAGGAAGAGCCTTGTGGGCTGTGAGAGAGAGGGGCGTTGAGGGTGGCTCCAGGGGTTTTGGCCTGAGCAGCCAAAGAAGTGGCCCTTTTCTGAGTCGGGGAGGACTGTGGGAGGAGCAGGTTTGGGAAGGAAGGTGAGTTTGGCTTTGGGTGTCTTGACATGCTGTCTGGAAATGTCAACGAGACAACTGGGTAACGTGAGCCTGGGCCGTACGGGGGCCGTATTTGGAAGTCATGGGCAGGGAGGTGGATGGCGAGAAGAGGTCTCTGCACCCTGAGCCCTGGGAGAGATGAGGACACGGAAGCCACAGTGCCCTTCCAGCTCTGAGTCAAAGTGAAATAAGGACCGGCTGGCAGCTCTCAAGTTGGGTGGACTGTAGACTCGAGACTCTGGAGCCAGAGGTGGAACGGGAGCCCTGCTTGTGGTGGTTAGGAGTGTGGGTTCTGGAGTTCTAACCCCAGCTCTGCCACTTCCTCCTGCGTGACCTTGGCCCTTGAGCCTGGAAGATGAGTAGATAATGGGTGACGATACTGCTCAGCTCCTGCTTCACGCTACTTGGCAGGGGTCCTGCTTCCTGGGCTGGGCGGACTGGTGTAGAAGGCACGGGCCAGAGAAACGTGGAGCAGAGCGTGGAGGCATGGCGTGGTGTGCGCTTGGTAGTTCAGGGCTCTGAAGTGCTGGCTTCTGACCCAGAGGCGTGTCAGGGAGCTACGTTTGGGGCAGGCAGGGGAAAAGGGCCCAAACCAATGGCGGTGCATGGGGGAGGGGATAAATCAGGGACGGCCTCAAAGAACAGGTGACATTTGAGCCCAGGGTGAGACTTGGATATTTAGGCTGAGGCGGTTGTGGAAGGAAGGCGGCGGTTGTGGAGAAGGAAGGCGGCGGGACGTGGCAAAAGTGGTGTTTGGGCTGGAGCCGGAGGGGTGGGAGGGGTGAGAGCGAACAGCGTAGGAAGGCTAGGGTGGGTCAGGTCATAGAAGGCTGAGTGTCCTGTGAGGAGAGTGGGGGTCCCTGAAGTTTCTGGGTGTGGTGGTGTGAGGAGAGGGGAGGGGACGCTGTGAAGACTGAAGCAGGTCAGTCAGGAGCCTGGGCCTCACCCGTTTTAGCTGGGTTTTCTCCACGCACTCGCCGTGCGACTTGGGCGTGTCATTTAACTCTCAGAGCCTCCGCTTGCTCCTCTGTTCGGTGGGGTCGTTGTGAGGATAAAATGAGTTAAGAGAGAGAAAACACTTAGCCCAGTGCCTTGTCCCTAGTACGCCACGGATAAGCATTCACTACCGTGGGTCACGCTGAGGAGGCCATGAAGTCAGTCCAAGCAGGGGTAGGGCATGGGGCCTCGGGTAGGTAATCAAGAGGTGGTGGCCAGAGGAGGGGGACAGTCATGCCACCGGCCTTTTCAGTCGTGCGTGTGCATCTGCTCCCGTGTGTGCACATGAGTGCCTGGTACTGGGTGCAAGGGCGCTGTTCAGAGCTGGGCTTCCTGTCTGTCATCCGTCCTGGCGGACCCCGGTCGCCCGAGGTACAAACCCACTCTGGTCTTCCATGCCACCCTAGGAACAGCGGCAGTGAGGGGGCCGCCTTGAGAAGCAGAGAGTAGGCCCGGGGCCAGACTGGACACTGCCTGGTGGGGACCTGGCAGGCCTGTGCCTTCAGACCTCCATTTCCAAGCCTCCGTTTCCTCCTCTGGCTGATGACCTCTCCTCCCTTCCAGGGTGGTCGGAATGATGAGAGATCATTAATGGAAGTCACCTGGCACATAGTAGGTGCTCAGTTTGTGCCTACAGGCAAAGCAGGAGGCCCACAGATCTCTGGGAAGGATTCAGAAGGACCTGGCAGGGGTGGGGCTGGAGGGTTGGACAGGACAGAGGCCACTTCCCAGCCTCAGAGCACAAAGCAGGACCTTTGACAAATAGAAAAGGACAGTCCAGGTGGAAGGACTGGCCTGTTCTCAGGCACTGCTTGTCCTGAGGGCAACGAGGAGCCGGAGGCCCTCGAGTAGAGGAGTGACACGCTCAGGTTTGTGTTTTAGAGAGCTTACTCTGGCTGCAGTGCGGAGGAGGAGCTGGATCTGGGAGAGGCTGAAGGCAGGGAGTCCAGGTAGGAGGCTGGTTCCGTAGCCCAGGTGAGCTGAGAGGAGGGCCTGGCCTAGGCCAGTGGCTGTGGGGATCCCAAAGAGGGGCCCCTCCCAGATACAAGAGGTAGAAGCCTCACACGGCCTGGGGTGAAGAGCTTTTGACACTCTCCACCAAACCAGTGAGCCCCTCAGGGGGAGGAGGGAGAGGAGGCCAGTGTGGCAGGTGGTATTGGAGGTGCCCAGAGGCGGGCAGGCAGGCACTCCAGGCTGGCTCTGGCTCTGGCTGCTATCCCAGGGGCAGCCACAGTGCCTTACTGGCAAGGGCAGGGCCCGGCCTTTCCCTCCTGGTTTCCCATGAGACTCCCTCCACCGCCACCCTCATCAGCACTTCCATCACCAACCCTCACCCCCACGCACTTGCTGGTGTGAGACTCTGCAGGTCTGAGGTGGGGCAGGCTCCCTGATTCCAGCCATGGCTGGCCTGGCTGTGTCCACTACCCCTTGAATGAGCCTTTGCCCCCTTCCCCATCCCCTGGAACTGTCTTAAGGGGCAGTGCCAGCCTCCTGGAGGTCCCAGTGCCTCCCTGATAGGCCCTCCCTGTGTTTCTCCCCCCTGCTGCAGATGGCGGTAGGACCCCCCGACTGCCCCGTGGGAGGGCCGCTGACCTTCCCAGGCCGGGGTTCTGGGGCCGGCGTGGGGGCAGCCCTGGCCCCACTGCCCCCACCCAAGATGCCTCCCCCTACGATCCTGAGCGCCGTCCCTCGGCAGATGTTCAGCGATGCAGGCAGCGGGGACGACGCCCTGGACGGGGATGATGACCTGGTGATCGACATCCCGGAGTGAACCCCTCTGCCTGACCCCCTGCCCAGCGCCCTCTGTGTCAGCACACATGAGCCCCCAGCTTCCGCAGAGACGTTTATTGACGCCTGGTTGCCATGCTGAGGCCACTGACACAATCAGAAAAGGCGTAAACATGCATGAATGTCCCCCAGAAGGTGGGCCCTCTCCAGGGAGGGCAGGGGCCCTGCCTTCACATCCCAGCCCAATCCAGGGGACAGTTATTTAAATGAGTGGGCCAGGAGCATCTGCCACCTCTCAGAGAGGCAGAGACCCTGCAGTGGCCCCCCCACTTAAAAGGGCAGCTGTACAGGGCTCGGTGGTGGTGTTTTTTTTAATGAAGATTCTGCGTTAAAGGAGTGCCTCTTTTTTTGTGTGTCATTTTCATTTTTGGAAACCTCCTCCTCCAAACCCCCCCTAATCAGACCTCCTCCCTGGAGGGGAGGGGGCCGGGCAGCCTGGAGAGGCAGGAGAGAGGAGCAGCAGCCGGGTCCTTGGGGCAGGGCCACTGTGGGATCCCCCCCTGCAGGTGTGCTCTGGATGGGTGGTTTGCATATTTGTCTGTTGTAGCGAGTCAGGCAGGAGGAAGTTTGCATATGTGAATATAGATCTCCACAGTCCCTCACAAGAAGACAGACCCACGGTCACGGAGACACTTATGAAACAAGACAAATAGTGCGGGGTGGGGCCTCCACCCCGTGTAAACGTGCAACACACTCGTGCGAAGGCTGCCTACTGGGCCCAGCCTTGAGGGCCCTGTGCTGGGCGGCCGCTGTCCTCAGGCTGAGTGCAGGGCTCCGGCTGCCGGGGGCAACTGGCTGGTCAAGGTGTGCCAGCGCTCCAGAGCTGCGTCCGGCTGCTGCAGACAGTCGCTCCAGTGCTTCCGGGCCTCTCTCCGGGCGCCTGGCCCCAGGGCCACGCCACCTGGGGGCAGCAGAGGCGGGCAAGATCAGGGCGGGGCTTACTGCCGGGCCGCCCTCCATCAGCACCAGCCAGCAGGCTCCTCCCTCACCGATGAAGTCGTTGGATTTGCCGATGTCATAGTCCCAGACTGTGACTTCCAGAGTTCTGCTGGCCAGAGTGGAGAGCTCCATCTCGTAGAAGAACTCCTGGGACAGGCAAGCGACACCTTCCATGAGGCGCTGCCCCCACTCCCAGCCCCAGCCCCGCTGGATTTCTGGCCTCTGCCCCATTTACCTCATTAAATTCCGGGTTTAGAGTCTTCTTTTTCACACATGTTTTGTGCTTGGATTTCTTATCCACGTCTGGCCTCAGGTACCTGCCGAGGGGGAGGAGGGACAGGGGTGGAGGAGCAGGTCAGTCAGGGACAGGCCAGGCCCAGAAGAGGACGGGGCTGGTGGCAAGTCCCTGGGGAGGGGAGGGTGGGCCTCGGGGCAGGGCGAGGGCTCACGTCTTGACGTAGGGGTCAGAGTAGCCGTTGACGTCCATGGCAGCCAGGTGGGCGCAGCGCACGATGCCCACCAGCAGCCCGCGGCGCCGAGAACTATAGCTGAGGCTCAGCAGGATGCGCCCGCGCTCTTCCAGCAGCCCAGGTCCCTGCTCCACCTGCTCCAGCTGCCAGCAGACGCGGGCGTCAGCCGGCACCCTCACCACCTCCCGCCCAGATGTGGTCCCTGTGGGTGGCTCACCTCCTTCAGGTAACAGGAGATGCCCCTCAGCGCCACAGACATGGAAGAGGGTGAAGCCAGCTGAGGGGGCAAAGAGAAAGTTCTGGAAACCTGATCTCCCCAGGGCCCCCTTCCCGTGGTACCCCGCAGCCCAGCACAGACCGGGACCTGGCGCTCAAGGCAGATGTTAAAATGCTTCTTCTGTGAAGGCTTGAGGCGGCGGAGGGGTACACGGATCTCCCCGATGAACTCGTTGTGGCTTAGCTTGTCTTCATCACAGACGGAGATCCTGGTAGGGAACTGCAGGGTCAAGGCCCCCTGGGGTACCTGAGCCCCACTCCAGTTTGGGAGAAAGGTCCTCCGACTGAACTCTGAACACTCGAGGCTGCTCCCAGCTCTGCCCTAAATACTCTACACCTCACTTGTAAAATGGGCTGTCTCAGGGCTGTGTGGGGAGCACCAGGCCTGGAGCTGGGGGAGGATGCTTTGATTTGCCCTGTTCCTCTGCGCCTCCCTTTCCAGCTGCCCAGGCTGTCCCCGGCCCATCAGGACCTGCTCAGCTCCTTGAGGAAGCCCTCACAAATCTTGGGAACGTGACCACACACACACACACACACACACACACACACACACACCCCACACAGCCTACATTCAGGGCCTGGGGACAGGATCCAACGGAACATGCACAGGGTGTGCACTGGTGGATGTGGGTCACGGGTCCAGGATGTAAGAGCTAGAAGGGCCTGAAGGAGCCTTGAGCAGTTGGACCAGGAGCCCATACCTCCCCCTAGAGCCCCTGTCCTTTCCTGTGTGGAGCAGGGAGCCAGCCTGGGAGAGACTCATGAACCCAGCAAGTAAGAGATTATTGCTTTTACTTCCATCCGTCTCGGTCTGCAGCCCGTTTCCCTGCCTTCTGCTGTAACACTCTCGAGCAGCTGTGTCATGCAGAGGTGTTCAATTCCCAGCTCCGCCACCTAGCAACCGCATGACCTTGAGCAAGTCACTTAACCTCCCTAAGCCTCATTCCCATTTCTGTCGCTTGAGACTTCACTCCTTAGAGATGTTAGGGAGACACGGGCAGCAGAATGGGCAGACCTCTCCTGCATAGGTCTGACTTAAGTCAGGGGCTCTGAGAAGGGGTCTCAGCAGGGAAAGATTGCAGGAGGAGGCAGAGCCTCAAATGATGAGTGGGATTTAGGCCGGCAGAGAGAGGAAGCAGGAAGAGACAGGACAGGCAAAGGTCAGGAGATAGGAACCCAACCAGTCGCAAGAGGGCGGTCCTTTGTTGGAGGAGCAGTAGGAGCTATTTGGAGGGCAGGAACCCAGGGGAACATTCTGGCCTGCTCCTGAAGGGGACAGGGAGCCACTGATGGTTCTAGAGCATCCGAGGGCTTAATGGGAGGTTGGTAACCAAAGAAGGTTCCAATGACAGCTGTCCCCAAGGAGGTGCTGAGCTGGACTCGTTGGTAACCGGGAGGACGGACCCCTCACCTGAGCACCTTGTGGGTGATGTCATCATCTGTGATTCCGCTGTACGTCAGGTCCTCATTCCACACAGGATTCAGCGTGTTCCTCTGAGTCTTAGTTTTTAGCTTATTGGCCTTAGGTGTGGGGACAAAAGGTTCACAGTACGTGTCCCCCAGACCCACAGAGGCTGGAGGCAGACAAAGGTTAGGGGCAGACCCACAAGCTGGGTCAGGCTGGGGGGCAAGGGTAGGGGGAGGCCGTTACCTTGCAGGCTCCAGGCAGCAGGTGCAGCTTGACATAGGGGTCGGCCAGGCCATTGAAATCCATGGGCTTGAGGCCCTGGGGAGGAGGGGAGGGAAGAGGGCTGTGAGCTCCCAAGCCTGCCCACCCTTCCTCCCTCTCTCTGCAGTGTGGACCCTTGGGGGCTGGAGAGCCAAGATGGGTGCTGGGAGAGGAGCAGGAGTCAGGCCTGGGGAAGGGAAGGGAGGATGGAAACGCACCCCTCTCAGGGTAGGAGGCAAACAGGGCCAGGGCTCTCGGGGGGCAGGGAGTACCCACCTTGGCCCTGAGGATACTACAGTGCAGAGTGCAGGAAGCCTGGTCATAGAGAAGGTCAAACTCCAGCGTGCCCAGGGCGGCTGGAGGAGAGGGAAGAGGTAACCTGAGTCCGTGCGTAAAGACAGGTGTGTGTGAGAGACAGGTGGGCAGGCCTGCTACGTGTGCCAGCTGTGAAGGTTTGTGCGTGTCTGTGCCTGCCAGCCTGCTTGTGTGTGCACGTCTGGGTCCCTGGCTGGGCTGCAACTGGTGCTCTGTGGGTGGTTGAGTGTCTCAGCAGAAATATTGAATATTGAGCCTAGCTGAACCTGTAATCTCCACTCTGACTGCAGCTGTGGTGGCGGTGCCCACCGCCTCCCCACCCTCAGTAGGGCCCCATCCCCTTCCCACAAGGCTGGAGGCCCCCATTAGCACCCTGGGCCCTTCAAGCCCGCAGACTCACTGGTGTCATCCGAGTCATAGCTGTCCACCTCAGCTCCATCCTCGGGCGTGGTGGCCCCAAGGAGGGCTGCAGGGGGGGCCAGGGCCAGGGGGCCCAGATGAGCAGGGGCCTCTCCGAAGCCCCCGCCGCCCCCTTCAGGTCCTGGTCCCCGGCGGGGGAAGTAGTCAGAGATCTGGCGGATGGGCCGGATGGGCCCCGGGCACACGTTGATGGCCATGTGCTCCTGGATGTTGATGGTCATGCGGTCGCCCCTGCGGCCCCTCATGCAGCACCCCTGGCTGGGGGAGGGAGGTTCGAGAGAGCTTGAGCCCGGGGCTGACTTCTCAAACCTACCCATCTGCTGGCTGAGGGCCAGGCAGCACCTGCCAGGGTCTGTGGGCCCTCACTGGCCTCCCTTCCTAGGTGCTGAGGGAGAGGGCAGCCTGTGCCCGCTGACGGGCAGGCAGAAGGCCTGGGCCCTCCAGACCCCAAGCTGTGCTCCATGGGGCTGGGATGCCAGCCCACTCCCCCCAGATAGGTCCTGGCTCCACCTCAGCCTTGCCCACTTTCCTCTAGATTGTCCCTCTGTCCTCTTCCCAGCGCCAGCCCCTCATTCTGGGCTTCTGTCTGCCCTGGGCCCTGCCTACCCCTGAAGCTGCCCCCTAGGCCCCCTCCTCTGTTTTTCCGAGGCTCTGACTATCCTTCTGCACCAGGCGCTTGTCTGGTCTGGGGGTCACCCACCTCTTAGGTTTTCACTTCCCACTGTCCCTTCGTTCAGCCCCAGGATCTGCTCGCCTGCCTGGGCCCCCATCCGCTGCCATCCAAGGTGAGGACCCCTGCCTCAGATGCCTCCTCCTGAAACTGGCTCTCCAGAGGAGCCAGAAATTACAGCCTCCGGAGAGCTAAACACAGGCTAACACACACTCACCCTCACCCTCTCGCCCACGGCAGCCCAGCCCCCTGCACCTGTCTCTGCGCCTCCAACAGGTGCCCAAGCACTGCGGGGCCAGCGGGTGCGAGCTGGGCGGTGGCAGCCGGCGATTCCCAGGGCGGCCGGCGAGAAGAGCGCCGAGTCCGGCAGTCTGAGCCGAGAGGGAGGGAGAGCAGGAGAAAGTGCGGGGAGGAGGGGGTGAGCGAGGTGGAGGCGAGGATGCAGCCGGCGCAGGCGGCGCGGGGCGGGGAGGGGCGGACGGAGGCTGGGGACGGGGCGGGACTCTCCCGCCGGCACCCGCCCGGGCACACTTAGGAGCGCACACGGGTGCACACACATTCACGGGCAGGCTGACACACGCATCTTGCACGGGCACTCCCGCGCACACGCCTGTGCCCACGTGCGCACACCACAGTCATGCACAGACCCAGACACGCGCTGGCACACTCACCCAGGAGAACTTCGCACACACACGCTTGCAGACACACGGGCTCCCTGCGCCGCCAGGAACCCACAGTGAGAACTGCCCGGTGTTCCCCAACTCCTCCCCGCGCTGAGCCGGCGGAGCCTCCCTCCGCCCCTCTCTCCTAGCTTCCCTCCCGGGTCTCCAGGGCAGACCACCGGCCTAGTTGCCATGGCGACGCCGGCTCCTCCTCCCTCCCCGCCCCCTACCTCGCGCGTCCTTTTGCCCCTCCTCCGCAGAGAGCGTTTGGAGGAAGGGGGGAGGGTGTCTGGCCCTCCCCTACCAAATATCCGTAGGGGCGGGGCCTGTGGGGGCGGGGCTTAGAGATCCGCAGTGACCCAGGAACGGGCTGGGGAAGGGGGTCTGATCCGCCTACGGTCCCTGGTTTGAAATCTCGGGGTCTCGGACCCTGGCTGGGAAACCTGAGAGTCTGAGGCCTGAGGCTGTGGCTTCCCCCCACGCCTCCTTCCGTTAGTTGTTCAGGCTTCTCTCCTGTGACCCAACCCAGCCCCCGAGGGTCCAAGTCCCCTTCTCAGGGATGGTATCTCCTTTGGGAATCCGCCTTCCCTCACCCTCCCATCTCCAGTTGTCCCTCAGGTGGAGCGGAGCGTGGGGTTTCGCTCTGAATGCCTCAGAGCCCTGCAGGCCTTCCTCCACTCTCTGCTGTCTCTCACCTGAGCCCTGCCACCTGCCTGTCAGTCTAACTCCAGCCTTTGATCTTGGCTCTCCTTTGTGCAAAACTTGCCAGCCCCCAGTGACAAAGTCCACACAGTGACCCGATTCAAGGCCCTTCAGCCCAAGACCCTGACTTCTCTAATCTCATCCCCCGTGCTCATCTTGCTGGCTCTCAGGACCATTACTTGGCGGTTCCCAGAACACACCTGGATCTCTCAGACCTGTGGACCTTTGCTCATACAAGTTCCTCAGCCTGGAAGATCTTTCCTTTCTTCAGGGGTCATCCTTGACCCCCTCTTCCTAAGAGACTTACTGGAACATCTCCCCACCCCCAGCCCAGCCCCCAGCTTCCACTGCTGTCTCTGGTTTGTCATGTCTGTTTCCATTTCTGTCTCCCCCACTACTGAGGAGCAGAGGCTGCCGCATGCTAGGCCTGGCACTAGTTTGGCATCACTAAATATTGTGATTTTAGGTTGCATAGCAATGTGAATATACTTAACATTGCTGAACTTTGTGCCTGAAAACAGCTAAGATATAACTATTCATTCATATGTGTATTTTTACCCCAATTTTTTTAAAGTAAGAGAAATGTAAAACCAAACTATGCTGAGATACCACTTGTCACCCATCAAATGGTGAAATTCAAAGCAAATGTTAACACACAGTGTTGGTGAGGCTGTGGGTAAATGGGCACCACCTCTGTAGATGAAACGGAGCAGGACCCTAGGTCTTTGCCCCTCCGTGTCCTCAGCCTGCCTTTTGTCTGTGGGAAAACTTTAGCCAAACAATAAGTTTAGGGCTTCCCTGGTGGCGCAGTGGTTAAGAATCCACCTGCCAATGCAGGGGACACGGGTTCGAGCCCTGGTCTGGGAAGATCCCACGTGCTGCGGAGTAACTAAGCCCGTGCGCCACAACTACTGAGCCCGCGTGCCGCAACTACTGAAGCCCTCGTGCCTACAGCCCGTGCTCCTCAATGAGAAGCCACCGCAATGAGAAGCCTGTGCTCCGCAACGAAGAGTAGCCCCCGCTCGCCACAACTAGAGAAAAGCCCGCAGCGCAGCAACAAAGACCCAATACAGCCAAAAATACATTAAAAATTAAATAAATATTTTTTTTAAAAAAGAATATGTTTAATCAGAGAAGTGAGAAAATGCAGAAACAAAGGAAAACAGTCCAGCAAGACTAAATAATAATAGTTTAGTCATTAAGCATAGTTAAGGACCCTTAGTTCCTTCTCAAGGGCCATAGGTAATATTCTGAGCCATATCCACTGAGCTGTCTTGTAGATTCTGAAACGCGCACCAGGTGGAAGAAGTTAACTACATGATGACCGGACTGTAGCCATGACACGAGCTCCCACAATTCCAAGAACTGGCCTCCAAGAAATGGGAACAAATCAACCCTGGAACTAAAGACTAACTGTACTTAAAGCCATGAAGAGGACACTGATCAGACCACCGCAGGACCAATTTCAACATGACTGTCAGAGCTGACTGTGCTGTTCCTGCATGTAGCCCCCTCCCTCCGTCTATAAAAGCTCTTGCCTACTGATTGTCAGTGGCGGGGGGGGGGGGAGTTGCCCTTTGGACAGGAGTCCACCCTCCCCACTGGTTGCCAGCATCCAAAGTAAAGCAAACTTTCCTTTGCACCAACCTTGCTCCTTTACTGGCTTTTGCGCAGCAAGCAGCCGGACCCCACTTTCAGTTACATAACCACTGTCAGACTCTTTGATCCAAAAAATCCACTTCTAGGATTTGGCCCATGAGCAAAATAATAGAAGTTCAAGGCTATTAACTGCAGCATGTCTTCAATGGCAAAAGACTGGAAACAACCTAAATGTCCACGACTGGTTGAATCAGTTATGAGAATTTCACACAGTGAAATAACATGCAGCCATGACAAAGAAAGAGGCCCTTTATGTACTTGTACAGAATCATCTTCACAATCTCATGGTAACTGAAAAAACTAAGGTAAGGAGGAGCATGAATGGAATGCTGCCATTTGAGTAAAAAAAAAAAAACGAGCGCTTATATATGTTTGTTTATTTGTGCATAAGTTATTCCTGGAAGGCTGCACAAGAAAGTGGTAACTATGGTGACCTCTGAGGAGGCTGCTGTGAGGCAGGGGAAGGCAGGAAGAGGATTTATTTTGTACCATGTGCATATGTTACCTACTCAGAAGAATACACTAAAATAATATCTTTTTTTAGATAAAGGCAACCGTTAGGTTTCCTCTGAGGTTCTCCAGGATAAGAAAGGAGGAGGCAGGACTAAGGGAGACACCGTCCAGGAGCGGGTGGGTTTGGGGAGAGGCAGACCTGGGCCTGCAGTAAAAGGAGGGGCGAGCTGGGCAAGAAGCCCAGCCCTGCTTCCTGCACTGCTTTCTTCTCCTAGGGTTTAGCTCAGGCCCAGCAGCTCACCTCCAGAAAGCCTTGTTGCAGGAAGGCAAGGATGAGGCTGGAGTTCCAGCCAGTCGCGGGGGAAAATACAGACAGTTCTGAGCCCTGGTTTGTCCAGAGGTGGAAAGGCTTTTCATCCATCCATTAAGCCAGTAAGTATTTATTGAATACTTATTCTATACTGTGGTGCTACGGCTATGACCAAGGTCAATGATCTCTGGCTTCACAGGCTTGTAGGGGAGACAGACAAATACACAGACAACTCCAGTGCAGTCAGACTGATGTGGTGACAGGGGATGGTCAGAAAACTCAGGGTCACTTCCCAGGGGAAGTGTCGTCTCAGCTGTGACCTGGAAGAGGAGGAGGAATTACTGGGTCAAGTTGGGGCAAGAGTGTCCTAGGCAGAGGTGTGTGCAAAGGCTGGGGTGTGCTGAGGAAGGGAAGCTTGGGAAAACCCAAGGTGGGTAGGTAGACAAGAGTGTCGCAGATCAGGGTAAGAAGTTCAAAATAGCACAGGAGCCAAGGGAAGCCACTGGAGGGTTTTCAGTAGTGGATCCACGTGTTCTGGTTTGTTCTCGCTGGGGGAAGAGGGAATAGAGATCAAGCAGTCCATAGGTTGTTGCAATAAGCCAGATGAAACATAGGGTTGGCTGGAATGAAGTGGGGCAGGGCGGCACTGGAGGGGAAGGGAAGTGGATGGATTTGAGATTTAGGTTGGAGATGAGCCAATAGGTCTTTTTTTTTTTTTTTTTTTTTTTTTCCCCC